TGTACAGCTATGCACACAAAATATTAATGAAGGTAGCTCTTATCATAAATAGTTTAAGCCAGGTAAGTGCCTAACTACTTGGTGCTAAGAGAATTACTTGACCATCTACAATAAATCTTTCTGTTTGCTAGCTGCTTTAAAAGTGCATTGAAATAGTATGTATAAAAAATGCTCTTTATGAAGTTTGTTCGATAGACGTGCACATACGGGAGGTAGGCTTAAATAAAGCAAAATAAATAAATAAATAAATAAAAAATAAAAACCAAACTGTTGTTAAGATTATTTCAGTTATCTATAGACATTAGTCCTGTGGAAATGTTGTTGGACTCAAAGGCAGCTTCTGTAGAGAATATTATACCATATTTTTCACAGTCAKATRGTGAGGGAATGCAGGATASGTGAGATGCAGKCAAAAATCTTGGACTGGTCTGGACTGGTCAAGGTGGGATTGAACGTTCCTTTTATTATATTTTCTTTATTTAACACAACCTTCACAAAATTGTTAAAATAATTTAAAAAATAGTAGAAGTACTCTTACATGATACAACAGATGGAGCTGGAGATAGGGGGCAWCTAGGACAGTGCGAATAACGACGAAGCAGTGCGTGTTTGTATGACATATGGATATGTATGAAAGGAGTGTTGTCTGGGGGCTGTTTAGTGGAGAGACAAGTAGAAGGAGGAGGAGGAGGGGTGCAAACAACATTTCCTGTAGATGAGTTTTTGAAAAAGTCCTTGAGTTTTTCTCTAAATGTCAGTATTTGTGCAAAATGAGKATAATTTACGAACAATCTATACGCAGGACCAGGGGCCTCATGTACAAATACTTGCRTGACTACAAAAGCTTGTCATWCATAACAGAAATAGAACGCATCRACTTTTATTTGAATATTAAGTTTTAATACTAACTGGCGCACTGACCCTATTAACATTTATTTCCAGGAATGTCATTTGTTGCCTGCTTAACCTCCATAGGGTTGCTAATATAATAAACTTGGCGTTATAAAGGTAAAGGTTATTTCCGTTATTTTTCWCTGATGCCAAGCTGGAATTATTTTGGTCACTTTGTTAAAGAAACTGTTAGTATCATTTGAAAATTTTTGCTCCAGAGCTGCAAAGACATTCTAGATGTGTTTTCTACWGGCTGCCAGCACTCCCTATTACAGCAAATCTGATCTCATTGTGCAAAATTGATTTTTTGTCCCCAATTAAGAAACAATCTGGGCCAAGGAAAGGCCTGACCTTTAACAATTTGTGTTATTATGTTCAAGCATRAGTCGGAAGAATTAGACAAAACAGAGGATAATATTTAAAATCCCTGGATCATTAAACAATCACAAAGTGCAGCTGCAAAGGCTGTTTAACGACACATTCCTCTGAATTTAGGTGTAGAAGCCTATGATCAGCAGTAAGATCTTGCTAGAAGATACAGTATATATCTTAGGCAGTAATCAGTTTAATGGTCTGGTGTGGAAAAAGGTTAGACTGTATTTATATGTAGATCTCAGTGCATGGCTTTACTCTAGTACTCTACTAAGTTTCATTYGTTACATTTGCACTGCTACTCTTCATCAGGTTTCAAAGTTCTTTTGGTCTCATATGCATTGTACATGGGCTGCAACTTTTTTATTTTTTATTTTCTTTAATAGCTCGTTTCAGAGCTTGTTTTTTTGATCAGGCTCCATCCTCATTATTATTAGGAGGCAGTGGTTTCTACCTGCAATCATAGGTTTTCTAACATTACAGAGTCTGAACTTTGATCAGTCATGTGGCAGCCTTCAATGAATTGTGTCCCCTTGTAATGTTTCAGTGATTTCCATTAGATTCCATGAGCAGGACAAAGTGAAACAAGGTGTATACCATAAATAATTGGGCAATTTGAGAAATAAAAAAACAATAAAGTGCAAATTCCTGATTAAGATTCTTGAAATATAGTGTTTGTTCCAGTGAACAATAATAAAAGTGTAAGATCCTGTGTGCAAACTCCATATATTCAAATAAGTACATTCAGTGGTGTGATAGCCTTATCCACACATTGGCAAAATCAGTCCACACACTTACCTCATTGATTCATTTTGTTTTGCAGTCTGTTATATTTATATTTGTCTTTTTTGAGTCACCTGGTTTGTGGAGTTGGCTGCTTCCTGTCTGAGCAGGAGGTGTGGCCAAAGGCTGAGGGCTTTGGAAGCACATTACCAGCTCAGCAGGACCAATCATGTGTCAGCAAGGGGAGTGCTTAGTTAGATCATTTGGTCCTTAGTTTGTAAGGCTTAGTTCTATTTCCTCTATTGTTTGTAAATGTTCAGACAAAATCACTGTACAAGTTACTCTTCTGTATATTTGTGTTAGGTCAGTTTGGTAAGTTAAGGTGTGTAAAACTTTGTTTGCTCCGTTAATATTATTTAAGTCACATCTTTGAGTAGAGTTATGTTTAGTTGATCTCTTTAGGGGCTCATTAACTAAATTTTGAACTTGGCAATTTCTCATTTCTTTAAAACTAACGCAGTAAATCAAAACTTAATACATCTATAACATTGACTGCACTGTATGTTTATTTTTTTCTCATTTTAAATGTAATCTTGCAAAATTTTGACAGGATTATTTCTCTTTACTCTTTAAATTAACTTGAATAAAATGCAATCCTAAATGTCATGCTCTTACCAGAGTTTGTGG